TGGATCATTTCTAGAATTTTTTTTCCTAAACAGATGATTCAAATGATATGTGGGAGGATCAGGAAGAAGACGAGGATGAAGACGAAGGCTTAGCAGGACAGTTCTTGTCAGATATTCTTTCCACAAACAAGTATGGTGAGTAACAGCTTGCAAGTCCTTCTTCAAACCAATAATCAAGTAGGTGACATCCTAGTCAAAGTTTCCTTCCCTTGCCAGCAGCAAAACAAAGGCTGCAGGCATGGGGGAGGAATTCTGCTCCGGGATTGTGAATAAGGACTTTCTGGAGAAGCCATGGCTTTGAGCAACATGGTGATTAAATTGCTGCATTATAAATAAAATCACCTGGGAGTCCACATACTTGCACTGGCTTCACACCTAGGATGTTTCTGCAGGTATTTCTTCTAAAGAAAAAATTGCTGCTCAGGGTGTAAGTGTGACCTCAGTGTGACTGTCCTAGGGATGGGTGAGCTCGTTTGTGGAGGGACCTTGAGGAACAAGTGCTGCATAGAGAGATGAGCAGGTGCATCATCTCTCAGGTTCATGTAGCCTCAGAAGGGAGAACTTTACAGGGAAACAGCGAAGGATGCTGCTCACATTAGCTCAGAACTGGCAAAGTGTCACCCTCACGTGGGATTAAGGCAGAAGATCCTGGTGCATGGAATTCCCAATCCTGCCTGTGAGTGTCCCATGTGTGCTTGACTCACCTGCATGTTCCTCAAGCCTCCACTGACCCTGGTTCTGGGCTTCAGTGGTTTCTATCACATGACCTAAAGAAGTGAATATTCTGGATACAATTTTCTTTTTTCCCAGCAGTGCTTAAACTATTTACTTTTGGATCCTTGGGTTTCAGTAGCTTAATAGAAAATTTTCTGAGATAGTCTGCTCTTTTTGATGTTAAAACCTGCTGATTTGCCTCTGACAGATGAAGATTACTATGAAGATGATGAAGAAGATGATCCAGATGCATTAAAGGACCCTCTTTACCAAATAGATCTCCAGGTGATGTTCTGGAATGAGGGGTTTTATCAGATTCCAATCATTCTCTATAAACTTTAATTTTTTAAGTGTTGTACTTTAACAAATATGTAAGCACTGGAAACACCAGTCATGAACATCCAGAAAGGCACTCTGTAAATTGAAATTACTTTGGAAAGGGCCAAATGTCCCAAGAATTTATGGAGCTATTTTTCCTTATCATTAATATTTATAACATGGAAATGTGAATGAACAAAACTCTTTGAACAGAGGGGGATGAGACTTTTCTACCTGTGAGCTTCACTGCTACTGGCAGAAGTCAGGAGTAGGTTGGAGAGTGAACATGACAGAATTTCATATTCCACTTGGAGATGCTTCCACTCAGTCAGCCCCTGTGTTACCCTTTGCTCCTGCTTTTCCCACCACCTGCAGCTGTTGAAGGGCCCTTCCCTCTGCTCCCATCCTTTTTCCTCTGCTCCAGCCCTTCCCTCTGGTTCCACTCCTCCTCCTGCACCACTCCTTTCTGTTCCCTTCAGTCCTGGGGTGTTACTTGGTGCATGTTGGGCTGTGTCTCCTGACACGTGGAAGCAGCAGGATTTCCCAGGAGGGTGGTGCTGACAGGTGTTTCTGTCCCTCCCAGGCCTATCTCACCGACTTCCTGTGCCAGTTTGCACAGCAGCCCTGCTATGCCATGTTCTCTGACCACCTCAACGACAACGAGAAGCGAGTGCTGCAGGCCATCGGGATATAGACCCACTCCAGAGACCACACCTGCCAGATCTGAACAATTGGTTCTTTTTGGCTAATTCCACGTTTTATGATAGGACATAAAACATTTTCCAGTGTCTGCCTGCCTTGTTCCAGGTTGACAATGGCCTCATTGTTTTGAGCCTCATCTTAACGCACATCTAAGGATGCTAAGGAAAGGAATCCTGAGAAAGGATCATTGCACATTGGTCTCACCACAGGAGCACTTTCATTTTCCACAGTAACTTTCCAAGAAGTTCCTAAAGATAAAAATAATGTGTCCTTAATATTTTTAAAAGGAAACTGTCTCTACCTGTAAGAGGCACTTTGAGTTTCCCACAGCACAGTTCGACAGGGAAAGGAACCGGATCACTTACGGATTGCTTGAGAAGTGGGAAGGTTGTTCCTCTTGGCTGTTCCTCCTCACCTAACACAGGGTAAATATCTTGATCCTACAACGTGACTTCTTTTATAGAACCACAGACTCTTTTCAGAGCAGCCTGGATCGGATGGAGCCTGTTCACAGGAGTCTGGAGGGGAAGCTGAGACAATGAACCTGAGTGTGTATCTTCTTTCCTGGTGTGGATGGGGCTCTGTCGCTCACGTCTCCCATGGGAGCAGTTCTTCACTAACACTTGTGTGTGCACATGCTCAGAGGAAGCCATCACTTAAATTTCTGTTCCTGTGGCCTGTGGCTATGAAAGACTGGTTTTCTGGAACAAAAGGAGCCACAGTTTTTAGGGGAAAAAAACAAACTGATTGTATTTAACAGATTTACTTAATGACAGCCACTCTAAACTACTTTGCTTTTTTCACACTCCCGTGTGTATTTTTATAGAGTGGCAAAATAGCATTTGCAAATTGATTTCCCCATGAGAACAGTGTGATCTATCTCACAACACCTCTCTGCCTTTGGTTCCCTTTCGGGGAAAATGAAATAAAACTATTAAAATGTACATTGGTATCCTTCTTATAAAACAGATTTAAAAGGAACTTGTGCTTGATTCCTGAAGTCACTTTTTAAAGACGTATTTCTCCTTATGACACGTTCTGTATGTTCTGCCAGAGGATATTGGGGTATTTCATGGGAGTCACCTGGACAGAAAGGGAGTCCTGTGCTGTATGTATCTGCTGCTTAAAATGGGCTGAGCCATTACAGTTTCCTTTTAAGAAAGGCACTTGCTGTTCCTTTGTGGAATCATTTGCTTCGACATTGTATCAAAACCTCCATAACCTGGAGTCCTTCTGTCTCTCACTGGTCTCACCTTGTGCCTGTGAGTGAGCAGAGCCAGGGGGAACCCCCCATCCCCTGCAGACTCCTCTGAGCCAATCTTAAATTTTTGAGTGCTTAAGTATATGAGAAGCAGAGTTTGAAGCCTGATTTTTGTGTCTAATAAGGTACAAGCTCTTCCCATGCCATTGAGTCTCAGTGTCTTTCTTCCCTGGGGATTCTCTGGTCTGTCGGAATATGTAACAAACAGGGTGCCCTGACCCTCCTGTCATACTCAGTAGGAGTTTGGTTCTGAGGCCTTTGCTCTCAGCTTCCACTGAAAGGAACAAGTTAAAGCAAACAGTGCGGTCTTGAAACTACCAAGAAGCTCATGGCTGCAGTGGTGTGTCCACATGGCTGTTCCAGAAGGATCAGGAATGTCCTCAGAAGAATTGGTCCCAGCTCTGGGAAGAGGCAGGACCAGCTTTTTTTGCCGTGTGTGTCAGCAGCAGAGGCACAAACCCAGCCATCCATACTTGCACAAAAGTGGATGTCAATGTCTGGAAGCATTGAGGTGTGTTCGGGGTGTCAGGAGTAAACAGCACACTGAAGGCTGGTTAGCCTGGGCTCACAGAGGTGCTGCTTGGGGGTTCGTGTGCACTCCAGTGGGAGCTGGAATACTGTGCATCAGGGGGGGCTTTAGCCAGGGCAGAGGGTGAATTTAAACAAGTCCATGAAAAATGAGGCTGACACTGAACTGAAACATCTAAAGGTGCCTGTGTCATTGTAAGTTCCAAAAGATGGATGGGTCAGTGCCATATTCCTGCTGGAACTCATCCATATTTTGGGTAAAACCAGCTTTGATTTGCAGTTATCAGTGTTTTTTTTAAACGAGTGTGAGAAGGGAAGGATGGGGGGTAAGTGGCATTGTCTCTACGTCTAAAGATTACTTACCTGAGTTTCCCACAGTACAGGTGGACAGAACAAAGGCACTGTGTCTTTTACAGATTGCTTGAGAAGTGGGAAGGCTGTTCCTCTTGGCTGAACTGGTGCTCTGCACTGTCCCCCCTCCATCCTCTGCCAGATGCAGCCTGAGCTGGCTGGGCATGGTGCTGCTGCATGGCAGCTGAAGCTTGGGACCAGCCCGAGGGGCAGGACTGGCACAGGGATGGTGTGGTTGTGCAGCAACCCTCACCGTGTGCAGGGTGGTCTTGGCAAGAAATGCTGTGACTCGAGCAATCCCTAGGAAGAGGCTGGATACGAACTGAGAGAGTGCACAAGGGAGATGGTTTGAGGGGCCTCAGCTGAGTCCTGCTGGTGCTCATGACTTTGTTGCTTTTCTGCTTAACCAGTCATCTTTCCTAAAAAAATTCTGAAGCTCACTCTGTGATGTGTCTTTATACAAGGATTGTGTTTGCTGGAGGGATTGTGCGAAAAAACCTCTGACAAGTAGCACAGTGATGGCTCAGGATGGAAACTGCTGGACTCTGAAGCAGTGTCTGAGCTCTGGTTTTGAGGCGCAGCACCATTGTGCTGTCTGGTGTTGCAATAATAGTCATAGAGGTGACTGACACCGTTTTAAGAAACATAAACTGAGGAAAACAAAGGATGGGCTGTGGGCTTTGCACAGCCGAGGGCACATGCCACTGCTGCCGTGGTGCCTGGCACGCACATCCCGCTCGGGACTCCTGTGGGTATGAGCTGACCATGTTTGCTCCCTGTTTACTCCGGAGCGCACCGCGGAGCTCCGGCCCTCACGGACCGTGTTAAAACAGCGACCGCCAGCTCGGACCCTGGAGCGAGACTTTATGCATTTTCATCAGTACTGTTCTTTTTTGGGAGTGGAGCTTTTTGAATTAACAAATCAACTCTAGTAGTGTAGCATCCCGCCCGGCTTCCCGCCCTTCAGCGCCCGTACCGGCTGGCTCGGGCCGCCCGCCCCTCTAGCGGTGCATGCTGGGGGCTGTAGTCCAGGGCTCGGCAGCTGCCAGGCCGCTGCGCCGGGCGCGGGGCACGCCGGGAGTTGTGGTCTGGCTGCTGGACCGCAGGCGCGCCGGAAGGCGGGCGCGCGGGGCGGGGCATGCCGGGAGCTGTAGTCTAAGGGGGCAGGCGTGGGCCATGGCGGCGGCCGCGGCCCCGGCGGGCGGCGCGGGGCGCTCGAAGGTGGCCCCGAGCGTGGACTTCGACCACAGCTGCTCGGACAGCGTCGAGTACTTAACCCTCAACTTCGGGCCCTTCGAGACCGTGCACCGCTGGCGCCGCCTCCCACCCTGCGACGAGTTCGTGGGGGCCCGGTGAGCTAGGGAGCGGACGGGATGGTTGGAGGGGGGCTCCCGGCGCCTCTGACCTGTCCGTGCCGCCCGCAGGCGCAGCAAACACACTGTGGTGGCTTATCGGGATGCGATCTACGTGTTCGGCGGGGACAACGGGTAAGGGGAGCCGGCAGCGCCGGGGTTAAGGGGAGGTGGGTGTGAGGGGAGATGGGTGTGAGGGGAACGGAGTTGTGAGGGGAGATGGGTGTGAGGGGAGATGGGTGTGAGGGGTGGTGGGTGTGTGAGGGGAGATGGGTGTGAGGGGTGGTGGGTGTGTGAGGGGAGATGGGTGTGAGGGGTGTGAGAGGAGGTGAGTGTGAGGGGAGATGGGTGTGAGGGGAACGGAGTTGTGAGGGGAGGTGGGTGTGAGGGGTGTGAGGGGAGGTGGGTGTGAGGGGAGATGGGTGTGAGGGGTGTGAGAGGAGGTGAGTGTGAGGGGAGATGGGTGTGAGGGGTGGTGGGTGTGTGAGGGGAGATGGGTGTGAGGGGTCCGTGGCCGCCCCTGTCCGGCCCCCGGCCTGGCTCAGCTGCTTCTCCCGTCCCTCCCCGCAGGAAGACGATGCTGAACGACCTGCTGCGCTTCGACGTGAAGGACTGCTCGTGGTGCAGGTGGGCAGCGCGGCCCCTCGCCGTCCCTGGTCGCTGGCAGGACCGGGACACGCCGTGGCTTCCCTCAGCACCTTGGGCTGGGTGTAAAAGTTTGTGCCGCTACCTGAGTACCCGAGAGGAAATGTCACCTCCTCCCAGCACTGTCACAGCTGCTCCCTGCCAGCCTGCTGTGTGCTGGGCCATCGGGGTTGTCGATCCTGCCCGAGGGGAGGCCGGGCAGCACAGCGAGGGAGGACCAGGGTCATTCTGTTCCTGCAGCTTGTGGGAGGGCAGAGGGACTGGGTGTGCTGCACCTCTCGGGCCAGGGAAGGTGCCAGGGGTCCTCACACCTTTCTTGGCTCCTTTGCTCTGCAGTAGGCAGCCTGTCTTATCTCACTTGTGTCTCACTTTCCAGCTCTGCCAAATAGATTTCAGCAGCAGCATGTTCGTAACCATTTATTTCTGTTCTATAAAATCTTAGTGCAATCAACTATCCAAAACCAGTGAAACACTCAGGAGCAAAAGAATAATTTCTAATAGTTGTTTCTTTTCTTAGTCTGCACATTAGCTCTGTGCCCAAAGCACAACCAGTGTGTTTGACTGCTGCTGTTGTGACTTGTGCAGGGCTTTCACGACGGGGACGCCGCCGGCACCACGGTACCACCACTCCGCTGTGGTCTACGGGAGCAGCATGTTCGTTTTTGGTAAGGCAGCAGCAGGCTGTAGTACAAGTGGTAGATGTGCTGCTGTACTGGTTTGGAAAAAGAATGAGAGATCTTTAGGAGGTGTCAGAGGTCTCATTCAGTAGCAAATCCAGTATTTTTCATAGCTGTGATTTCAACTTTAGTTTGGAAAGATGGCGCTGTTCTGTTTAAAGTAAAGACTATTGAAGCTCATTGCCATAGTGATTCTTTAGGAGGAGTGGAAGAGTAGTCTCCTTCTGTAGTAGTCTGTTAGCCAAACATTTCATGCAATCTAAAGTTTCTCCTAATGCAACGCCTGGGAGTGTGTGTGTGTGCTCCGTTGCCTGGGAGGCTAATGGAATTGTTGTTGTCCAGGTGGTTATACTGGAGATATCTATTCCAATTCAAACCTGAAGAATAAAAACGACCTCTTTGAGTATAAGTTTGCAACTGGGCAGTGGACAGAGTGGAAGACTGAGGGAAGGTAAGAGCTGTATCATTGCCTTCTGCTTCGGGGGACTGAGGGTAGCTTGGCATCATTTCACATAGCAGTCAGACCTACTTACAGTGCTCATGTTAGGCCTGCAGCATGATTGCTGCTCTGCTTTCTCAATTAACATTTTTTGGTTCTACAGGAGTTTTTTTGGAAGGCCTCCATTCCAGAATGCACTGTAATGGAAATTCATCCAAATTCCACTCTTCATGTTTCAGGTCCATGACAGAAGGAATGGGGGCAAAAGGAGTTGGGTTTTTTCCTGAATTGTTTCAGTTTCAAGGATAGCTTGGAAATTGTTGATCCCTCATGAAGAAAAGGGATCCTGAGAGTCAGCGTTCCAAGGAAAATCAGAATCACTAAGACATTGCTTCCTAACGTTGACTCTGTGCACATTTCAGAATGCCATTTCTGACAATGATTGTGATCCAACTCTTTAGTGTTTATTACAAGGTCATGAACAGGATAAGGGGGAATGGCCTTATACTGGCAGAGCAAGGTTAGATGGGATATTGGGAGGGAAGGCTTGGCTGTGAGGTTGGTGAGGCCCTGGCACAGGTTGCCTGGAGCAGCTGTGGCTGCCCCATCCCTGGAAGTGTCCAAGGTCAGGTTAGATGGGACTTGGAGCAACCTGGGCTAGTGGAAGGTATCCCTGCCCATGACAGGGAGTGGGACTGGATGGGCTTTAAGGTCTCTTTCTACCCCAGACATTTCTGTGTTTACCACTCCCCAGTAGGGGTCATGTGGTGTCTTTACCTGCAGTCCTACACATAGCTGAAGTTTCTGGAATGCTGTTTTCAGTGGGGAGAGAGAAGGGAACTTTTGTTATTGTGATTTGTGGAGAGGGGTGAGGAATGTCCCATCCGTTCTTGTGTTACTGTTGCTCACCTCTGATGAGCACGCTATATTTCAGAACAGAGACTCTATTAGTAATATCTCTTTCTGGTTTATTCTGGTAACTTGGGACATTTTGGAGAGTAATTCTTACTCAGTTTATTCACATTTTGCTTGTTGTTCCCCAGAGTTAATGTTCAAGCTTCACAATGACCTCAGATAAGCCAACAGATGCCTTGTGGCATCACAGGTTTGTTCAGCCTGGCTGATTTAGTTAAAACAACAAAGATTGTGGAAGAGAAATCATAGGTTGGATCTTTCATTGTCGGCACTACATCTTGAATGATCCCAAATGAGTATCGTGAGCTCTGTTCTGATCTTGTTTCTGTGTTTCTCCTGCTTAGTCTGTGGGAATATGTGTGGGATGTTCACAGCCAGAGTTGATTGCCACCTTGCTCTACCAGTGGTGCTATGAATTTTCCCATTATTTAACTACTTTATGCAAAATACTCTAAGAGTATTTGAGTCCTGTCAAGGAATTAGTTGGGATTCTTTTCCTTTTTTTCCCTATCTGCATTAAGGTTGTTTCTCTCCACTGAAGGCAGTAGAGTTCAAAACTAATACATGCTTTCAGAAGCTCACTCTGTTTGGAGGGCACATGGCAGAAACAATTTTGTGTACGGGACTTTCTTCTTCTCTTCACATGTGCGTTTTAGCTCTTAGATTCTTCTGCAGCCCCTGTGCAGCTGCAGAGGAAAGATTGTTTTCTGCATTTTCTTCCTTGCAGGTTGCCAGTGGCCAGGTCAGCTCATGGTGCAACAGTGTACAGTGACAAACTGTGGATCTTTGCTGGATACGATGGCAACGCACGGTATGGGGCACTATCACCCTCTCCTTGACTGATTTTGTGAAATCCCAACCCCTCAGTTTCCACCACTGTAGAGACATTTCCGTGTTCCAAGAGATTTAAACACTCAACTAGAGCTTTGCAAGCCCAGTCTGTTGTTGAACACTGTACTTTTGCAGTTCACTGGTTCATGTTCAAATAAGCATGTGCTTAAAGCCTAAAGATCTGGTTACTCAGAGCAGCTGTGGATGTGTAATTTGACAGTGTGCTTGGTTGTAAGGCTGCAAAATGATCTTTGGAATTTGGCAAATGTACATTTCTTGAAAGATCCCCAGCACAGGCTGGCTGATGTTGCTGAATACTTAGAGAGCAAAGCCTGGATTTGCTTTGAAATCGTCTCAGAGAACTAAGAGCAACATGTCCGTTTTTTTCTCAGAAATCTCTGGAAAGATGTAATATTTAGGTTGAAGGGAGGTGAGATTTTGTATGGGGAAAGACTGTAAAGGAGTGGTGCTGAGATGTTAGAAAGAGTGCTTTGTCTCACAGTAGCTCCTTGCATTTGCTCTTGGTCTGTCAGGGAACAGTCAATTCTGGACATGTCATTTTTTTTCTGTTGTCATGAACTTAAGGAGTAATTTATGATGATGTACAATATTTGCATCATGAGAGCACACAGAAATTGTCACACATGAGGAGCTGGGTTGCCTCCTCTTTTGAGAAGAATCTTCAGAAACATGTCCAGCTCCACAAAGTCTCCAGGAGAACTGCTGACAATCAGGAATAAAGATGGGATGTCTTTGTTATTTCTGGAGGAGAAATTGGTATAAGAAGCATGACTCTGTGGGATTGCTCAGTGCCAGCTTAGGGAGTCCCCCAGGGTCTTGGGTAGCTGGAAGGAAGGAGTGGGTGAGAGGAGCTGTCTAATTTATGTTAAGTATGTCAAATCACTTTAAAAAATGTCTTTTTATGGAATATGAGCCAGCCTCCAGGCAGATTTGAACAAAAGAAACATCTGTAGTTACTCTGAGTAACTTGTTCTGGGAACAGCACAGTCAGAGATGTGTCAGGTTACCTGCTTCGTCCTCCTTTCTGTATTTAAGGAAGGATTCAGCCATGTAAATAATTGTTGTGATCAGTCTCAGTAGTTAACAGGGATGGGCAGAAGGAGCAGGGTAAAAAGCGGTATTTTGTAAAAATCCTGAAGATTAAATAGTTCAAATCCTTAAGCTCCAGACTGAGTTGCTGTATGTAACTGTTGACGGCAGTGTACTTGAAAACCAGAAGGATGCTGAAGCAAGCTGGAATGGGGCTGTAAAATTTAGGCATAGGACAAAGGAATTCTAATAATTGTTTTTCTGTCAGTGGAAGTAGGAGATTCAGTGTCGCTGTGGTGGCAGGATGGGAATGAGGAGACTCTGACTCAGAAGGCTGCTGAGAGTAAAACTCCCATTTATTCAAAATACACCGCTCTTTTATACAGAGCTTTGTGAGGACCAAATCCATCGGTCCAGAAGTGCAAACAACCCACAGCATTGGTGCAGAGTGCTTGACACACAGTGATACAACTTAACTATAAACAATGTGAACAACAAGAGAGATAAATAATTATTTATATTCTTCTCCAACTCTTTCCCAGGCTTCTGCCTGGCTAGAAATTCTCCGTTTCTCTCTTTGACTGAATCTGAGACCCACAATTCTTCCCATGCAGAAGGAGTGTTAATGAAATAGGATTTCTGCCCTTTCAAAACTGTTACAAAAAATGAATTGTTTCGAATCAAGTATTTTTTGTGTTATGGCACAGATTAAATGACATGTGGACAATAGGCCTGCAGGACAGAGAGCTGACCTGCTGGGAAGAGGTAAGAAGCTTTAATTTCAACTAACACATAGAATTCTCTTTTTTGGTTTTAATGCAGAATTATTTAAAATTTCCCATGCTGGACTTCACTGCTCTTTCTGCAGAATGTATTTTTGATCCACAGTGAAAAGAAACAGTTCAAATTTGATTTGGTTTGGGTATTTGGAAAACCAAGTGTGTATGAAAGGGTGATTTTTTTTGCTTGTAAATCTGTGAACTGGACTTGGACTTCCCATGGGGGATTTGCTGTGCCCCCTGTGGAAGGGGGTATTCCCATTCTGACCACTGCATTCCCACTCAGACTGCTGACACAGACTGGGAACTTGGCTGGCAAGCTGACCAAAATTCTGATCCTTGCAGTACTGGGAGCTTTAAAAATGTGGCCTCCCAGCCTTTTTATCCAGGGAAAATCAGACATGTAAGCACAGCACGAATTGATTTCCTGTCACCAGCTTTACAGGACCCATGCCATGTGCTCTCCCTGGCTGCACCTGTGTCCCATGGCCCTGCAGTGTCCTCAGCACTGTAACAATACATTTCTGATTCTGAGCTTAATTACCTTTCAGATTGAACAAAGTGGTGAAATTCCTCCTTCCTGCTGTAATTTTCCTGTGGCAGTTTGCAAAGACAAGATGTTTGTTTTCTCTGGCCAGAGTGGAGCAAAGATTACCAATAATCTCTTCCAGTTTGAATTCAAGGAAAAGATGTAAGTGTAGACAGTTAATTTGTGCAAAATCCACATAAATCCTTGACTGCCTGAGCTGTGAAATGTAATACTTAAGGGCACTGAGGGAGAATGCTGTGTCTCCTGGTGACAAAGCCAGAGTCAGAAAATTTAAGACTGGTGAAAAACGACCGTGTTTCCTGTTTTCCTGTCCCAGCTGGACACGGATCCCCACGGAGCACCTGCTGCGGGGCTCGCCGCCCCCTCCCCAGCGCCGGTACGGGCACACCATGGTGGCCTTCGACCGGCACCTCTACGTGTTCGGCGGGGCTGCGGACAACACGCTGCCCAACGAGCTCCACTGCTACGACGTGGACTCCCAGACCTGGGAGGTCATCCAGCCCAGCCCAGACAGTGAGGTAAAACCTTCAGCTTATGCTTTTTTCCTTTATGCTCCTTTTTTGCCTCATTTTTGCTATGGACAGTTTTTGACAAGAGTATTGGCTTTTAGCTAAATAATAACAACTCCTTACCAACTGATGGTTAATCAGCTCAAATATTGTGGGTAGCAGTCCTTAAAAATTAGTCAGTGTTGACACATCTGAAACTTCACTTAAGACATTCTAAAGAAATACCATGAAACACTATGATATGCATTTCAATAGTTTTTTCCATCAAAAGCTGAACAATTAGTTCAGTGTGTACCACTAGTTCTTTGGTTGGCTGTGTGATTGATCCTTTTGAAGCAGAATTCAAAGCTAGATGATTTGTCACTGTAATGCTCATGTGCATAGAATCTTATAAATTCTGATTATACATAGAGGTGTGGCTGGCAAATAGTAATCTGGAGGCTCAGAAAGGGCTGTTTTAAGATATTTTCCTTAATAAGATATACAAATTTTAAAATGTCTGTTTTTACATGGATATCAAAAGGCTGTAGACCACCAAGTGACAAGGAAACACTCCATATAAGACAATATTTAAAAAGAAAAGAACGATGAACGTATCAATCTTTCTTTTGCTACTTGCTACTCATGCAAGGCAGCAATTGTGTGATAAAATGTCTGTTTTTTTCCTCAAAGCATACTCGCAGATCCTGTCTGTGATCAGCTTGTATTCCAGGTGGAAGTGCCAAGGGCTCACCTGGTTTCAGTGCATATTTCAGGTCATGTAGGTGAGGATCATTTCATCCCAGAATGCACAAGCAGTTGTTCCCTTAAGCCCATACCAGTGTAATTCCTGGCTTTGGAACAGCAGCATTCATTGTGTTTATTAGTGTGAATAGATTTTGCTTTAAACCATGTTAAGGTAGTGCAGCTGATGTCACAGTGGGTCTGAGGTGTGAGCTGCTCTGCAGGAGGAGATGCTGTGTGTGTGTGCGCTGTGCACACAACTGCACAGCCTGAGGTTACACCTCAGACAGCTGAGTGTTGCAAGAATTGGGATCAGGTGCAGAGTTACTGATTTAGCCTGCACAGATGTGACAAGGCTCACCCCCAAGAGCTGTGTGGAGTGTTTCATGTGTTTATATGTTTGCAGACACAGCATTGGATGAGCTGGAGAATCCCACACACACTGCTCAAAATTAATCATGCACATGGGCCTCGTTGGGTGCTGTTGTCTGACCAAAGTATCTCACAGCAGCCTATTTAATGCTTTACAAAGCTGATTTATTGTCACATGAAATTAATAAAGCTGCTTCTTCAACTTTTTAAAGCCACAGTTGCCTTCAGGACTGTAGATCCTGTTGTGTTCCTGCCACTGTTACTGTTTGATGTGTGAGGCGTCAGCAAGCGCTGGTTCTTTTGGACACAGTTGCCTATTGCTTCCAGGAGCAGAACTGATCCTGGCAGTGTTGTAAACCAGCATTATTCCCCAAGTTATCCCCTGCTAATTTTCATTTCAGATTTCAAATATCTTTTCTTCATCTGTCTGTAATCCCAGGTTAGTTGCTCTTGTTGTATTTGGCAGTTTTTTCCTCTGGTACAGAATCTAGAAACTGATTTGGTAGAAATGGGAGGTGAAACTGGTGCTGTTGAAACACATGATAGTAAATTTTCCTAAAAGACTGATTAACCGCAGACTTGGCATTTCAAGTAAGTTTTAAGTTATGTTGTGTCTTCTGCAGTCATAACTATGTAATTTCTCAGAATCATTTTCCTAAGTTTCCATGAGCTTTTGGCAAAGACGTCTAAAGGTACCAATGAAGCTGGACACTCTGAACTGGATTTTCCTTTTTTATCCGTCTCTGTGAACAAAATTACTCATGTTAATTTGAAGCAAAATAGAAGTCGATAAGTGCAGTGCTGTCTCAGCACCTGAGAGTTTCTGCTGTGTGTGAAGTGATAGTGACCTCTGTTATTGTGCAGCAGAATGACCTACCTTGACTTTTAGAGTTGTGTTTTCTCTTTTCCAATGGATGGATAGTAGAGTTTACCTTCTTCTTGCTCTGTATTATGATCTTAGAAGTGCTGCATTATAACTTTGCTTGACTGCACTATGGCAAGGCAAGGTTACTTTCTTACTTATGGTCATGAGATGCATATCCTTAATTCTTTCTTCTTTCAGATGTTTAGCATGGAATGGGTAAAGCCTCTGGAGTCCAAAATAAGGTTTGGTGCTGATAAGCTATTAATTCAGGGTGATTTTTACAGTGCTTTGCAAAAGAGATTACAGAAGAGATTGCTTATGCTGAAGGAGAGTCATTACTGCCATTCCAGTCTTGTTCTCTGAACTTAGGCTGCCCTGAGGAGCTTCTCAAGGTGATCAGGGAGTGATTTAGACTTTTCAGACCTGTTTGTGCCAGTGGCAGGAATAGGTGTCAGGTGGAAGTTGTATGTCCTCTGCTTCCCTGTTATGGCAAGCAGAGAAGGTGACAAATCACACAAGGCTGAAGAATCTCGGAGTTGTTACCTGGAAAAGGTGGCACAGTTTGGGCATTAATTACAGCAAAGTGGAGTGAGTACTAGCAAGATCCTAGAGGCACTTTTTGAGCACAGGCATTAATGGTGTGTCAGGTGCCCTGAGACAGTCCGGCATTTTCTGCATTTTGAGTAAACAAAATGCCAGACTGTACTGTTCTATTTGTTCTACTCAGGTAGAACAAACCTGGGAATAGATCTGGCAATGCTATTGTTGTAGTTCTGTGCCCAGGGCACTCAGAATTCTTGGTAGTGCCTCACTGTGGGATGGAGGATGGGAAATGGCTTATGAATAGAAGAGAGCAAACTGAGATAGAACAGGTTAGTACTTCAAAAATAAACCAGGAGCTGCCATTTTATGCTTTAGGATGTCTCCAGAATGAATAACAAGACATCCTTGCTGAGCTACACAATTGCAGTCTGTAGCTCCTCAAACCTATATATAATACATGCACATATATATTGTACAGAGCACACTGAGCTATTCCCCATCTTTGCTGTGAGATGATCTTCACAGCTGTGGATTCTCCTTTTCTAAGGCAGCCACAGGAACATCTTGTCTGAGTCCGTGCCTGCCTGCATAACACTGCCAAAGCTTCCTGGCGTGCTGGATTTTCTTGATACAGGGCTACTGAAGAATTTTGAAAACAAGAAATAGATTTTTTTTTTTTGTTTGCCTCAAGTTTTTCTGTTGAACTCAAATTACCCTTTACTTTCTGAAGAAGATTGGAGCAGCATAAGAAATCAGCAGGCAGTAAGATGGAAAATGGCCCTTGTTGCACAGTTGACAGACACGTGTGCACGTGGCAGTCATGGCTTGTGCTGCAGAGAGGAGTGTTCTGCAGGGAATGACAGGAGCTCTGGGTCTGGCAGGGAGCACAGCCAGTTGTGGACACAGACCCACAGAATCCAAGGTGATGTTTGGAGCAGCCACTGCCTCATAGAGGCAGGATGTTATGTCAGGAAGAAGAAAACTCTCCCTCCTCACAGTTCCCATCATCTCCCTGTGGCTGCAGGGACTGGCGAGTCATCCATCTCTCCTGAAGTTATGAGGGAAATCTCTAAAACTTGTTCTGGGAGACATTTCAGTCTCACAATTAGAGCTTTCAAAGCCAAGAGCAATAAAAATCTCAAATTTTCAAAGCTCTTATTTTTTCCTTTAATAAGCAAAAAGGGAGGTTAATGTGCTGGTAACCTTCTTGGGCTTACTTGGAGGCTCAGTTTTGGAGGTTTTTCAGACAGATTACAGTGACGTGGTTTGTGGGCAGCTGAGGAAGATTAAAAGGACTTAGTCATCCTCCTGGGGATGAGTCTGCCCCAGTCTCCTTGTGCAGAGATTAGTTACACCCCCTGAGGTATCTTCAGGCACAAGAAACACGTTACTGTGTGCACAATGCCTCACATTCCTACAGTGAGCCCCCTAACAAGATCTGTCTCATATGTGGGCAGGGTAGGTATCGTGTTCTGGGAGAGCTAAAATTGAGCATTTCACAATCCAGAGGGAAGACTGATACTTTTGATGTTTATAAATTATGTACAGAGTTCAGGCTTGCATCCTTTTTAAAAAACCTTTTTTAAAAATGTAGGAGCTTCATGCCAGTGCCCTTTGCAGGTCTGTGCTCAGTGAACTGGAGAGAGACATCTAGAAAATGTTTGTATTTATAAGAATCTGCACATCAGAGTACCTGTAGCGAACACTATTGTACAGCTCCACTTCTGTTTGTCAGTTCTGTGTTCATTTCCTTTCTGAGGGATTTTCATTATTACATCCTTTTACAGTATTCTCCCAGAGAAAGCAAAATGCAAATTATGTGGATGACAGGCAGAAGGAATATTTATGTAACTCACTCACTGGTAAGGAATTGGAACAACATGGATTTAACATGACCCACATTAAGGTGGTATAAAAGTGAGTAACGAAAGGACTTGAAATATACTTTTTGATTGAGGAGCAGTTACTCTGGATAAACTTATGCTACCAAACTTGAAAGACAACAGAAAATCACAGCTTTCCTCCAATATTTACTCATTGTCCAGAGTTTTGCCAATTACTGATTACAATAACAGTCCACTCAGAGATTTTGATTTCTTCTTAAGGTGGTTGCAAGCAGTCCATGTTTCTCTTTGGCTGTAGGATACATTTATGAACAGAGTGTGTGGTCTGGGCTTCATGGATTCCCTTACAGCATCCCTGGAAACAATGACTTAAATTCCCAGTTCTTGTGGGGAGCTGAGAGAGCTCCTGGTGGTCTGAAATGGCTGGAAGTGTTGTGATGTTCTTCATTCTAGAAGCTTACACAGTGCAGTGTCATTAAGTAACATAAATACATGATCTTTGTGTTTATTAGATAGATCTTCCAGTATAATATCTCTCCACGTCATGTTTGCAAACCAGGGAGATTGTTCAGAGAAGAATGATGGAAGATGGGAAACCCAGTGGCCAACTATGAAGTGAAGTCTCTTTTAGGTATAGGAAATGAAATCTTCCCTATCTTACA